GAACTGTTTTCTCCCTACACTGTGTGTGGTTGGTTATTCAGAGACTCTTGCCCCAAACAGTCTCTAGACCAGTTCTGATAACTATCTCCTTTCAGGGTGCAAATCTGGGGCATCTTATTCTCTTTTGGTCCAGAGTGGACAGAAGAATAACCACAGAGGATTATGATAGAAGTAGTTAAAATGTGCATGGATGGAAAACTTCATAATCCTCTATGTAATTTCTGATGCCCCAGGTTTCCTGTATGCTCTTGGCAGGAAGATATTTTTCCATTGCCTCTCCAACCTTTAATTCCATGATTGTGAGAAATTATATTCTGAGCTTCTTTCACCTGTAAAATACTGGACACACTTAGGGAAAGATTTTGGGCCTTCTATTATTGCCCTGTTGTGTCCTCTACACTTGGACTTGCATATGCTGCATTGTGCAGAAGGCTAGGGAACCTCCCATGTTTACTATTGATGAAGCAATTGAGGCCCAGAGTAATGGGGACTTGCCAGGATAAATATACTTAGTAGCAACAGAGGTGGATCTGATTCCCTGCCTTATTCTTAGGTACTTGTGATTCTTGTTAATTTTTAAAATTTAGAATACAGACACACACACTTTTTTTCTGTGCTAAAAAAGAACATCTTGGCTCTGCTATTTTATTAAGCATCTAACTTTGGGTAAGTCAGTTCACCTACCCATGCCTTTCTTTTCTTGTCTTTAAAATGGACTTAAAACTATTTCATGAGGCTCTTTGAGGTTAAACAAGCTAATCATATAAAAATCACAGTATCTATACCATTTGGCCTATAGTAACCCCTGAAGTTATCTGCATGATGATCAATGATCAAAATGGTCCAATCTCATTTTATGGATATATTCCACCAAAATCAGTTAGGATTATTTGTATGAAAACATAAAGTCATCAAGAAGCCAGTTGCATATCTGTAAATGGCCAACACTGATAAACACAGCTCTCTTCCAACCTTGGCTATTCTTTTGTAGTGCTTCCCTCACTTTTGAGCTTAGCTGACCTTGCAGGCTATTTTTTTTCTCTTTATGGACAAGAAGCATTTTGCTTAGAAATATCCATATTTTCCTTCTTTTGATTATTGACATAATCTCAGTGCTTGGTAGTCAATAACACTTTAGTCTCTGGCTTACCAGGCTACCTCTTCCAATACTGCAGGTGAAAATTATTGTTCTTCGGAACTCTGGCTAATGGAGATTTTCTAAGATAATAGGGTCAAATTTCATGTCATCTACTCATAGTGAAGGACATTTATTGCTGCTAACATCAATGCTTCTTTGGAACAGTTTCTACATTGATCATTATAAGTTCTCTGTAAAACTGTCTTATTTCCATAATGCCTACATTTTTGTTCCCTTTTCCAATTTATCCCTGTGGCTATTTTTAAGTTTGAAATTCCAGTAGTGGGAACCCTGGGTGGTGCAGCGGTTTAGTGCCTCCCTTTGGCCCAGGGCGCGATCCTGGAGACCCGGGATCAAATCCCACGTCAGGCTCCCGGTGCATGGAGCCTGCTTCTCCCTCTACCTATGTCTCTGCCTCTCTCTCTCTCTCTCTCTCTCTCTCTCTCTCTCTCATAAATAAATAAAAATTTAAAAAATTTAAAAAAAAATAAAATTTCCAGTAGTGTTTAAGTTAACTGTGTGTTATTTAAAAATTTGTGAAAAGATACTATCAGAAATAGAGGAAACAATATGTTATTTTTCAGTACTTTAAGAAACTAGGAGTGTAAGTCATAAGATATATTGTATAACACCTTTACTAGAGATATATTCAAAATAATTTAAGTTTTACATATTACAGATATTTGTACAAAAGAAAGGTAAATTAATGTCACGATCCTAAATAAAAAAAAAAAAAAACGTAAACTTTTCCAAGTGACTAATTGTGTGAAACAAAACACATATATGAACATCTTTTCATGTTTGATCAGTTTTATTCCTGATGGTAATAAAACTAAGTAAATTAAATGCAAAATCTTGACTGCAAGGTAATGGTTGAAGTTTTTACATACATAAAGGAGTCAGAGTAAATTTATGGTCCTATAATGGCTGTCGGCTGCTAATATTGTATGTATATTCTTATAGTGATCTATAGCGCCACGGCCAAAATACCATAGGGACAAGATCACAGTTGGTACGTGCTATGTTTGTTGATTTACCACCCTTGGCCATGTAAAATATTAACTGAGACTACTTTGATATAGCTTGTCTGTTTTTGTTTAGGGTTGAATATGTGCTCATTATTAGTCTACTCTTTTCTGGAGCGTACAAAATGGCACTATCCATGTGAGACTGTGATGTTAGAATTGCAAACCATCTGTTTATATTCTGGTACCATGTATTTCACTTAAAATTTCTTTTTGGATTGAGTTTATGATTCTAAAACGTTCAAAATAAGTTTATTATTTGATTTAGTTCTGTAAGACTTTTAAGTTCTATACTCCTTTGAATCACAATTAGACAATTAGATAAATGTTGTAGTGCCAACTCCCAGGTCTTATTTTCCAGAAGGTCTTAGATCCTGCAAGTATGTATGATAGCAGAACGCTTAGTGACTTACCAGCTCCATCGTGCTGCCACCTGTCTGCTCCTCCCTTTGTTACTGATCAGATCCTGCCCCCTGTTACCTCCTGAGTTTTCCTCTTTTAAATCAGTCTTTGGTTTGCTCCTCTCTGTTCTTACCTCGAGACAGGAGAATAGGCACACTTTAACTTCCGCAGCAGTGTGGGGGGTAGTTGTTTACCTCAGTCTTAGATGATAAAATCTGGTTTTACAAACTGAGCATGAGAAAAAAGCAGACAACTTAATAGATGTCTGCTTTTAAGTAATTGAATATATATATAAAAAAGCAAACTCTTTAGAATACATCACCTTTTACAAACAATGGTTAGAATCACCAGATTTCATCTCTAGTGCTGTAGAATATCAAAAACTAACTCAATGGGTGTTAATAGAAATTAATTAAATTGAACTCCGTTTGTAAGAAGGCAATTTTTCGAGGAAAATGTAATACCCTATAGATTTCAATTAGAAGTCCTTGGTATATTTGGAAATAATACGTTGCCTGTGGCATGGCCACAGCCAAAAGACTGAATTCCCAAAGATTACTCAGGGAGTTGTCTCTTTTCTGTGTGGTCCAATGACTGTTACATAGTGCTTTGTCTACCCTAATATTCTCCTTATTTAGAATCTAGTCTCTTGTACTTAGCTTACCTTTTTATAGCACAATCATCTTGAATTAGTAAAGGTCTGTGATTAAAGAATCTGATTGATGGGTGTGCTGTGCTTTTTTTTACCTGGTTATACAGTGTCTGCTCATATCTTTGTGATCTCTCTAGGCAAGAGAATCAGGTAGTTAAAGTTTCCTGATCATTAGTGTTTCCACCTGTAAGTCTATTATTAGAAGCAAAGAAATTTCTTTCATTTTACATGGAATAGCTCTTCATATACTCTATAGAAAACAATTTTGAAATGTCAGAGGCCTAGCTAAGGAGAATTTCTTTGGATTTTTTAAGCCTATGACTTTACCAAGTCAGATTACTGAAAAGCTATGTAGTTGGACCACATTTCAGTAGCCCTTTGCATGGATGTTTTAAAAGCATTACTTTAATAATAGGTCCTTGCCTTTTATTGGGGGACGGGTAAGGAAGAGCCTGCGTGACAATCATTTCTATTAGTTTTTGTAAAATTGCACTTGAATTCTGTGGGCTGTGTTAGTTCTTATCCTTTATAAAGATTCTTATGGTAAAGGCTTAGCACTTTCTCTGAGAAGAATTTCCCTCTCTTCTTGTAAACTGGTGCACATTTTATTGTGTGCTTTATATGCAGCTAGAAAAGTTCCCACTTTGAGAAGCTTTCTAAGAGTCAGCCAAATTGATGATAGCTTGGGTATTCTGATAAAGTTGCTAATATTTTTCTTCATTCATTGTTTCATGTTTTTGTCTCATTATTCTGATTGACCTTCATATCTTTACTGGAAGTAGGCAATACATATGTAACAATGAGCTACATCATTTAATTCTGAGTTCTAACATCAGAGTATGTAGTGACATATCAAATTGAGAAAATAATTGTTTTCCTTAAGCCTTATATTCCTCAGCAGATTTTTAAAATAGTACTTGGAAATCTACTAAATCCCTATTCCAGGTCACTGAACTCCACGTTCAGTTCCAAACACAGTTCAAGTCCATGCTGTGTGGAGCTCTTGCTCTATAAGTCATCTGAAATCTTGGAGTTGAGGACATGCATGGAGTGTGGAGATTTAGAAAGATGAAGAGGTCAGGGGTTACCCCATCCCACTGATAGATTCTAAAGTGACAACGATTGCCATCAAAGATTTCTGCCTTTTGACCCCCCCCCCCTCCACCTACAGCTTTGGGAATCTCAGTTTGAATTGCTAATCCCATTTCAAAGAGTACGCTCAAGAAGATCGGTTTTCCCCCACAAGTATTGTTGGGATTTGAAGTTACAAAAAATCTCTTGAATATGCTTTTCAAATAACTGTGGCACTTTATCTTTGCATTGCAGTTTACCTTCCAGGATAATTGATGAAGTAGTATCTTTAAGTATTTATCTGAAATAGGATAAAAATGTGAAAGGTTTTATTGAGATAGAGGTAATTTATTTGTGATGTTCACACATTTCATTCATTACTAGAACATATCTTTAATGAGTCCACTTAGTTTTTAAATTTATTTATTTATTTATTTATGAGAGAGAGAGAGAGAGAGAGGGAGAGAGAGAGAGAGAGAGAGAGAGAGAGAGAGAGAGAGAGAGAGGCAGAGACACAGGCAGAGGGAGAAGCAGGCTCCATGCACCGGGAGCCCGACGTGGGATTCGATCCCGGGTCTCCAGGATCGCGCCCTGGGCCAAAGGCAGGCACCAAACCGCTGCGCCACCCAGGGATCCCTCCACTTAGTTTTTAAATTAAAATGTATTTTTAAAAAAGTTTGCGTCATGATAGTTGTCGATTGTTGTGCCGTAGGATCCTGGCTACTGGGTGAAGATTCATCACTTAGAATACACAGATGGAGGGATCCTGGATCCAGATGATGTTTTGGCAGATGTCGTGGAAGACAAAGATAAGGTAGGTGACTCATACTCTTCCCCTTTGTTTGCCTCTGCAAATAAAGGAAGCTGTATGCTTCCTAGAGATTGAAATCCTTAACAAACTCCTGTGTCAATTATTATTAAAAGATACCATCTGTTCAGGTTTTACCTGAACAGCCCATAAATCAATGTACTTCATCGGATGTTTGGAAAAACTTTGTCAAGGTTTAGGAATCTGTTCATGGTGGCCTAATTAGCAGACACTTCATTCCCAAGAGCTCCTGATGCGTCTCAGTAAATTAGTGTCAGGCTCCAAGGCTGTTGGAGTTCTCATTGCCATTGGTGGCTCTGGGGTTTATTCTTGGCCCTTGCTAAATATTCAACTCCATGCCTGTGATTTGAATGTGTTTCAAAATAGAATGCAAGTGGGAGAAAAGTCTTTTGAGGAACTATGGTGAAGGTTTTTTCTTTTTCTTTTTCAAAGTAGCGGGCAAACAAGGGTCTTTCATGATAGTCTTTGTTTTCATTGCTAAAGTTAAAAAAAAAAATGAAAACAAACAAAGAACAACCCACTAAATTGAATATTCCAAGAAGTTAGAACACAGTCTGCCAACTACTTGGGGATAATCCCATGGCAAATATCTTATTTTAATAAGATTTTTCTTCTGTTGGTAAACTGGGAAAATGTGTGAGAGGAAATTTCAGTGGCCATACGCTGAATTTTTGCTTTTGAGACATGTTGTTTTATTGCTGCTTCTGTGTTGGGCTCCTCTCCTCAATGGTTCATGTGTCCTCTGGAATTGGACTATGGCTATTCCTGAGGGATCCTTGCTTCAGAGTTTCTTTTCCTGTGCATCTTTAGCACTGTTTGTACTAGGCTAATTTATTTGTGTATACATGTTTCTCTTTTTCACTTTTCTGTACTCTCAGGGAGGTGCATGTGTGTGTATGTGTGTGTGAACCAACTGCATTAGAATATGAGTAAGTGATTTATTGAACTCAGGTAAAATTTACATGTTTCCTTTTCTGTAAGATCTTTTTTGGACTGTTCAAATTTACGTTTGCCTTTGCAGACCTTCCATCCATTTATTTTCCCTGTTTTCTGTTGGAACTCAGCCCTGGTTTGCTGATTTGCTTTTGTTTTATCATTACTCATTTCATAAGGGACGTATTTCCCTAAATAGATTGTAAGTTCTAGGTGACTTGGACCAGAAGATTTTTATTTCCTCTTATTAATAATATCTGGTAGATTCTCAAAGAACACTTACTAAATTAATGAGTGAAAAAGAAAGTTCTAGATGACTTGGACCAGAAGATTTTTATTTCCTCTTATTAATAATATCTGGTAGATTCTCAAAGAACACTTACTAAATTAATGAGGGAAAAAGAAAGGTTTACTCTCTGTAGTTGACTCCTGCTCTACATAATTCTGATGCAGACATCCTGTTTATTGCTGGGTCTCCTGGTAAATAATCACATATTATTTACATTGGTAACTTTACTGGAGGACTTTCACTTCTGGATTTCTGTTTCACTTTCTGCTTTTCTATAGCCATCTTCTCATTTTTTAATAGTTTGGCATTTGGTCTATTTGTTAATGAAGAAGGTCTTCCCTTCTAAGATTTCACTGATGCCCAGTGTATTAAAACTAAACACCAAAAAGTTAGGCAGGGCCAGAAGAAAATGTCTCACCTCAGCCTTATCCAAGGCCTAATCACAGGAAGGATGTTTCCATGAACAGTGCGTAGGGAAATCATTTGTCCTACAGAGCTCTTCTGTTTAGAGAATTTTTTAACCATCCTGGGAGTGCCCTTTTAACTATAATCCATTTACTAGACACAGAAACAGCTTTTATTATATGTAATCTCGGTTTTAAAGGGACTTCACTGCTACTGAATCAGGTAAAAATATGAGGTAGACAGTTAAAACCCTAGCAAAGGATTAGAGCTGTTTGGGTGCAGGTCAACCCACCCCCTTAATGCACTTTCATGTGAAGTACATGGAGCCTAATTGGTATTGTACTACGGAACAGACAAGAATGTACACTTTGGATATTGCTGGAAAAAAGTATGTGCTCCCATTCCCCCCCTTTTAAAAATAAGGTAGGTGAAAAAAGAGAGCATCACTTTTGTTTTTCTTGATATTGTCTCTACAATATTAAGATTTTCTGATAGTTTATGTATCTACTGTGGAAAGAAGGTTCTGGCAGACTGTTTTACCTTACTTATTTCTAAGTTTAAGAAGTGATTAGAAGTTTGGGGGTCCCTGGGTGGCTCAGTGGTTTAGCACCAGCCTTCAGCCCAGGGCATGATCCTGGAGACCCAGGATCGAGTCCCACATCAGGCTCCCTGCATGGAGCCTGCTTCTCCCTCTGCTTGTGTCTTTGCCTCTCTCTGTGTGTGTCTCTCATGAATAAATAAATAAAAAAAAGTGCTACTTCTAAATATTTAGTGATACATCAAATTCACCCAAGATCCTTTGAGACAATGTCAAGCTTAGATAAAATTTCAATTCACCTATTTTCAAATTGGCTATCTTATAATCTCTTGCATTTAGAATATAGCATTCAAGCCGAAAGAAGCATGGATGGATGTACCTAAGCCTTGGCCAGTGCCCACTTACCTCAACTCCCTAGGAAAGCCTCTCACTACAGGTGGAAATGGCAATTAGGAGCCTTTGATGACTTAGCTGGAAAGGAGGAAGCAGAATTGGAAATTTAGAATGAGAAAGCAGTGCAGACTGACGCCATTTTCCAGTGTAAGGAAGAACCATCCAGTACACTTCTGCAAAGACTGAAATTAGAGATCGTGTGGTATTTTCCTTACAATCACACAGTTTTCTAAATAAAGGGCCTTCAAAACTTCTGGTACCAGAAGTGGTTTGCCTTTGGTCTTAGCTCCATCATTCCTTGGGCCAACACTGTGTGTGGTTATATTGGTGCCTCTTTGGGATGTTTATTGTTCTGTTTTGCCTTGCTTTCCCAGTAGAGCCCCTTCACAGGGGAGCTGAATTTTCTTACCATGTTACACTATTTCTATCCTACATTTTGTCAAAATATTACTGGAGTAGCTTTGGAATTTTGCATCTTACAATAACTAACATTTGTGTAAAATGTTATAGCAGGATTTAATTATCCAGTTGCAACAATCACTCTTAAAAATTCTCCAGTTTTATGTATCTGTTTGATTCAAGTTCTTTGGGATGAATACCAAAAAATTTACAGCTTTATGCTGATGCCTTTTCTCTGGCTGCCCAAGGCTCCCAACATAGTTCATCCAATAGCAACTACTTAACATTTTATGGAGCAGTAACAGTGGCCCAGAACGTCCTTGGCAATTATATATTCTATTTTACTTTAGAGCAACCCTGCAGGCAGGAGCTACTTATTATCCCTATTTTTGATTTCTGAGAATAGCCCCAGAAATAGTGACTTGCTGAAGATCCCACAGGTTGTAAGTGGCAGAATCAGACTAGAACTTAAATTTCCAGATTCCTTTGTTCTTCTACAATGTGCCAAGCAGCGTGTTGGTGTTTGTATCTATGATTACTAATTGTGAGAACGCATGACTTGCAAGTAAGCATGAATCTGTTTTTACATAGCTCGCACTATTGTTAAGGAAAGGTTGGTAATAGAACTATAGAGTATGACAAAGTTACTTTGAATCAGGGTATCACAGCTATATAAATTTCACTCTCTTTGCCTGAAGCCTGTACCTAATTTATTGTAAAGGTGTTTTCCCTGTGTTGCTGTCCCTTTCATCCCTTTCTCTATGTCCTAGATTACTCCTTTGAGGACTTTGTAGACTACACTTATCTAACAAATATATGCTGTTTTGTAGGAAAATATATTCTGTATTTTAGTAATTTTCAGAGGGATTGCCGAACGTGCACAAATTATATGCTGTGCTGTCTGCAGTAGGCAGAGTAATAGCCTCTAAAGATCTCTAATCCTAATGCCCAGAACCAGTGAGATGTATGTTACATAGGAAAAAGGGTCTTTGCAAATGTGATTAAAGATGTTAACATGGGGAAGATTATTCTGGATTATTTGGATGGGCCAAGTGTAATACAAGGGTCCTTAAAATGGAGAGGAGAGTGGTATGATACAATGTGAAAAGAGTTGAATGTCCAATGTTGAGTTTAAAAATGAAGCCAGGGGCACCAGACTGGCTCAGTCAGTAGAGCCTGTGACTCTTGATCTTAGAGTTCTAAGTCAAGCCCCATGTTGGGTTGTAGAGATTACTTAAAAATAATAAAATCTTGGGGATCCCTGGGTGGCTCAGCGGTTTCGCGCCTGCCTTTGGCCCAGGGCGTGATCCTGGAGTCCCGGGATCGAGTCCTGCCTCGGGCTCCTGGCATGGAGCCTGCTTCTCCCTCTGCCTGTGTCTCTGCCCCCCCCCCCCCGCTCTGTGTGTTTCTGTCATAAATAAATAAAAAATAAATCTTAAAAAAAATTATAAAATCTTAAAAAAAAAAAAAAGCAAAAGAATGCAGGCAACTTCTAGAAGCCGGAAAAGAAAAGGAATGGGTTCTCCTATAGAGCTTCCATAGGGAGTACAGCCCTGCTGACTTCTTGACGTAAGCCCAATGAGACCTATTTCAGACTTTTTAACCTCTAGAATTAGAAGATAAATTTGTGTTGCTTGAAGATTCATGTTTATAGTAACTTGTTATAACATCAATGGGACATTAATACCATGTTTCTTATCCTATTTTTAAACTTCTAAAATGGTGATGTTTTGACAAGTTGGGCTTTAAGATTTTGTAGGACAAGGAACATGGCTTATGTTTCAGATTAGCTGATCACACCGTACGTTCTTTCCAAAGTACATCACAAATTGAATCTCCATTCATTGGGTGAGTCCTCGCTCTTTAGGACTGTCATGCTGTTGCTTGTGTAGAAATAATTTCAGGTTCACATCGGAGCTATGTAAGAGCTCACTTATCAGTTTCTCATTGTAATATGTAATGACTCTAAGAAGTCTAAGGATTAACATTTAACAAAACCACTGCAAAGGTTAGCATTGACTGACATTT